TCAATCAATCAAACTAATTAACTACTTAGTCCCCGCACACGTGTCAGATCAGGTTGTCCTGATTCACGTGCGGTGTTCCGATACCAACTGCTACATGCCCAGTTGGGTGATGTATCTATTTAGCCGAGGATCCGCAATGTGATAAAAAGGACTGAATGGACAATGCAGTGCTAGTGGAATCTCAACAAGCAGTGTACATCCTGTAGATACAAAATGGCACATAATAGCGCAGGGGAAGACTTAGATATAAGCCCTGACCTGACCGGGACTAACCTCTCTCACGTAGTACAAGACATCGCAGCAGAATGCTAGAATCCCAATGACTAGCCCAATCAATGTCGCAATACAGACCAAACATACATCATCCTCATCACAAGGTGTGAAGGGGCCTGGCGCTACACACAGGAAGAATGCGCCAGGTCCAGACCATACACAGACGAAGAGGAGGGGATCAGACGATGAAGAAGGGGGGAAGATGGGAGTATCGTCAACACCAAGCCGTCGTTACAAGTCCCAGATGAAGGTGGCACCGTGCTGCAGGTACCTCGAAGACGAAGCTGGAGCTATGGCGCTGCAGGTAAGTCTCCCTGGCCACCGCCCAATCTCTCTCTCTCTCCAGTACTACTCTAGCTCCTACTAGCGCCCAGCGCTGAAGACTACTGCTAACGCTACTACTACTACTGCAGCGCTCCTCCAGAGTGCCGCTGCTGAATCCTGAGGACTACCTCCTGCCTCCTGAACTGCACGTGAAGTGCCTGGGAAGTCCCTATGAACTTACCTGCAGCCTGCAGGGGCGGGCCAGTCTTATACAGTGCTGGCCTGTCCAGGAGGCTGCTCTTGCCAATGCCAAAACGTGCCAGACCCTGGCGTTGAAGCTCAAACAAAGGTTGTCTTGAAAACAGGCCCAAAATGGCCTGCGCTAAAATCCTGGTCTAGTGCCCAAGTTTCAGGGCAGGTCGATCTTATGAGGGCCTGAAAATGACCCTCCGTTTCAGGCTGAAAAGACTCAGGGCCTGGAGGGCCCTGTTTTAGGCTGAAACGACACAGGGCCTGTAGGCCCTTGTTTTCAGGCTTTCAGGCTGAAACGACACAGGGCCTGTAGGCCCTTGTTTTCAGGCTTTCAGGCTGAAACGACACAGGGCCTGGTGGCCCTTGTTTTCAGGCTTGCAGGCTGAAAACGACACGGGCCTGAAAATGGCGCGTGCAGGCTGTTGCGGGCGCAGCATGTAACACACACACACACACACACACACACAGAGAGAGAGAGAGAGAGAGAGAGAGAGAGAGAGAGAGAGAGAGAGAGCAAAAAACTAAAAAGAAAAAGTGGACAGATATAAAGAGTGGAATACAATGAAAAAACGAAAACAAAGAAGACGGTGATGACGACAACGATGACGGTGATGACGGCGGTGACGACGACGACGACGGCGACGAAGAAGAAGAAGAAGCAAAAAACTAGAAAGAAAAAGTGGACAGATATAAAGAGGGAATAGAATGAAAGCACAAAAAATAAAAAAGACGACAACGACGACAACAATGACGCCGACGACGATGACGATGACGACGACGACGACGACGGAGACGAAGAAGAAGAAGAAGAAGAATTACATTAGTTGAACTGAAGGGGAAAACGGCAATGCCGCTGACGACGACAACTACGACGACGAAGAAAAAGACGACGACGACGACGACGACGAAGCAGAAGAAGAAGAAGAAGAAGAAGAAGAAGAAGAAGAAAGAGCAAAAAACTAAAAAGAAAAAGTGGACAGATACAACGAGTGGAATAGAATGAAAGAACAATAAACAAAGAAAACGACGATGACGACGACGACCAAGCAGAAGAATTACATTAGTTGAACTGAAATCTTGCCCTTCAATTTCTTCCTTCTCTCGTCGTGTTCTCCCTCTACTGCTCAGCAGGAGCTCCGCCTACCTTCACCGTGTGGGGGGAGCAGCAGCATGGCTGCTGGGTAAGATGCCACTTCAATCAATGTGCCCGAATCATATACTCTTGCAACTCGGCCTCCTACTTCTCCAGTCCAGGTACTGCTGCCTCAACCAGCCTGCTGCGCCTCACGGACGTTCCTGCTGTTAGGCGGGAACATTTCTGTAGCCTGCCATCCCCAGTACTGGACCTTCTCTAACCTATAAGACCAACCTAGATATGGGCGTGGACTCTCAGACTTCTTATGGAGTCTACTGGACCTAACGCCGGCCTACTGGATGTTACTTGGGCCTACCCTTGTTGCTGGAAAATCCGTGCCGGGTACCTGGCAAATTCTACATTTGTCCCTGTCCGACCCGGTCTTTCTACCGAGCCTGTCCAGTGGCCGATCTCAGTATTGGACCTACCCAGGCCTGCCGGATGTTACTCGGCCTACCTGAGTTGCTCGGAAATCCATGTCAGGTACCTGGCAAATTCTACATTTGTCCCTGTCCGACCCGGTCTTTTTACTGAGCCTGTCCAGTGGTCGATCTCAGTCCTGTCCGTGTCGTTCCCCTTTTCTAAGCTAGCTACGCTTCCTGTAACACAGGGAACACAGGGCGAGCAAACAGTTATTGTATCACATGGCGACGTGACATAGGGACTTAGGGCCAGATCCCACTGGCAAAGAGGATTGGAATAAGTTGCTGAATCTGAACGTGTTCGACACAGAGATGCAGAAAAGCAGTTCAATCACCAAAGGGAACACAGGACGAGCAAACAGTTATATAGCAACGTCGCATAGGGACTTCGACGCAAGCAAGGAAACAGCATTCTCACTCAGAACTCAGAACACGGACATCTCAACAAATTTTAAAATTTAAACCATCAGGCAGCGGTACTCGGAAAACAGCGTAAATCTTAGACTGATTCTGTACAGGTCATTGCATATTAAAAAGTTAAAAACTCACTGTCCAGGCAGTCCAAAACTAGAAGGAAGAGAAAGTTTTGTGGAGCGGACATCCATTAAAATTGGAGTGGTACACAGAATGAAGATTAGCATGGCCCCTGGGCAAGGATGACACGCATAAATCGAGAAATGGTCCAAATAAAAGAAGAAGAAGAAGAAGAAGAAGAAGAAGAAGAAGAAGAAGAAAAAGATGATCAGAGTCCATAATTAGAGATTCCGCCATCTCCACTCAAGAAGAAGAAGAAGAAGAAGAAGATGAAGAAGTAGTTTCATCACGGAGAGTCTGTCTCTGTCCGTCTCTGTCAATCTGTGTTTCCTTGCCCTACCCCCTGACCGCTCTCTGTGCACATGACCGCTTCTCCCTCTCCATGCCCTAATTGTGACCCTCTACGTGATCCCGTTCTCTGCCCCCAAAACATCATGTGAGCTGACCAGTGACCGAGTGGTGGGCATTAACAGGTCTATCCGTTGGCTGGTGGGCACCGACTAGTACAGGGGCTTCCCGACCTCCTTTGAAGATCATGCCACGCTGGGGTCCTTGTGAACAATTTTTTGCCCTTAGCGTATGTATGTATGTATGTATTGGGATTAGAATTTAGTATTCCCCTCAACGAGTCACCGTATTTTAGAAAAAAATTCAAAAAAAGAAAAAAGTTACCCTCTCTCGTTGTTGGTTTTGTGGCCACAGTGTGCTGAAAAGGGCAGAGTAGTTAGGTTGGAGTGTGCAGGATGCCCTTAGCCGTTTTTGTCAGTAGTTGCCTGTAGCCTGTAGGAGTGTTCAGTTTCAAGCCACTGAGGCAACAGCATCTTTCATTGGCTGAAGCCACGGTCATCGTTGGATGCCTGAACAGATCAGTGATGGAAGACCGATGATCAGCGACAGAAGACCGATGTGCGCGCATAGTGAAGAAGATCTGCCTGGATGTTATGATGAGTCTTTGTCAGCAACTGATGCCTGTAGGAGTTTTTAGCTGTAACTTCCACGGAGTCAACAGGCTCTTTCATTGGCCGAGGCCATGGATATATCGTTGAATTCCTGATTGTGAGAGGCCTTTGGTTGGGCGGGTAGCGAAGAGATGTAGAGCTAGCCCCAAATAGGGCCCAATATTGGTCCTAGCTCCACTCTGCATGTGGGAAACCACTCGTACAAAAATGGTGGGGAGGTCGACAAATGGTACCTGATCAACAGCAGCAGAGTCGAGCAGACCGATGTGCGCGCGTAGTGAAGAAGGAGATCTCCCCAGCTATAAGTCCTGGCCTTGCGAACAGTGTCGGAACCAAGCTCTTGTGCATTCTGTAGGGCGCCCAGACCGACATTGTTTCCGCAATCCACAGAAAGTACATTCCCAGCAAACCCTCTACCAAACTCTGATCAACAGCAGCAGAGTCGAGCAGACCGATGTGCGCGCGTAGTGAAGAAGGAGATCACCCCAGTTATAAGTCCTGGCCTTGCGAACAGTGTCGGAACCAAGCTCTTGTGCATCCTGTAGGGCGCCCAGACTGACATTGTTTCCGCGATCCACAGAAAGTACATTCCCAGCACACCCTCTACTAAACTCCTCAGTAGAAATGTATCGCCACCATGTATTCGAGCGAGTTTTCTCTGTCGTGGATTACTCCCCTGTGCATTTTGCATTTTGCCGTACTGTAGGCCTCCCCTGTCCTGTCTGGTTGCTGCTCTGGTACATTTCCGGATGGCTGTCGCGTCTTCCGGTTTCCACTCTGTTACAATCAGCTTTCGTGTGGAGGACGGTGGTCTTGGTGTGTGTCGCGAATGGAGGCGGTGCATTGACTTCTCTGTTCAACAATGACAACAACTGTTAATTGTATTCGTTGAGCGGCTGTGCGCTGGGTGGATATGTTGGACACCATCAAGGGGGGGCTTCTTTGCACACACACTCTGTAACAGTTCATTTTGTGTTTGCCTGCTCTTGTTCAGGGCAGAAGTGTATGACGGGGCTGGCAGTGGCAGTCGGTCGTGGTTGAACCAACCGTCAAGGTCGGGCTTCTTTCCACACGTTGGGGCTGCAAAATGACACCTGCAGGCTTGATGCAGCGGGGGATCACAGTGATGTGGAATGGGGTTGTGACGCTGTACGCGTTGAGACGTGCTGCGGCATGAGCTCCTGTGACCATCGGTCATCCTATCCCGATCAAGTTTGCAGGTGCTGGATGCTGATCTGTGGTACGTCGGGCATTGTCAGCCATCGACCATCGGTTCAAGTCGAGAGTTCATACTTCAAGGTACACAGTGATATAGAACGGGTCTGCGTGCATTGAGAACGGCTGCGGCATGAGCTCCTCCTCTGACAATTGTCATTCCATCCAGATGAAGTTTGCAGGCTCTGGATGCTGATCTGTGGTACGTCAGCCATCGAGCATGGGCGCAAGTTGAGGGTTCCAAGCACAGAAGAAGCGGCAGGAGGAAACACTACTGGAAGCAAAGTTGTAAAGAGCAACTTCAAAGGAGACGGGGCGACGTAACAAACATGCAGATGAGGCAGTGTGTTTGTTTTGTGGCTGATAGAGGGCAGCAGGGTTCTGAAAGGCGAAGGGTGGGCAACATCAGGACTGGGCTTGGGGTTTGTTAAAACAGTCAGTGCGTCGGCAGATTTAGCAGCTGGAAAGAGGAGAGAGAATTTCATTGCAAAATCCCAATCCCGCCCCGCATGGCATGCGACTGTTTGAATGCTGAACTGCCAAGCATTGCCACCAGGTGCTTCTGGGTGTTGCTGTGTTGCGTGGGAGGTGAGGCGTTCGAGTGCAGTCTTAAGCAAGTTGAAGCGTTTAGAGCAGGTTGTCGGTAGATTGTGGTGTTTGCTTTTGCTGCTGTTTGGGATATTCGGGTGGAGGAGAGGAAGAGAGTGAGGTCGGTCAGGCAGACCAATGGCGGAGCTAGAGAGTAGGAGTTGTCCTATGTCTACGGACTCCGAGGTCTGGGAAGCGGAGTGGCGCAGGTTATGGTCTTCCAAACTGTCCTTTCATGCTCTGCTGGAGCTGTTACTGAAGGGATGGCATCGTCAAGTTCAGTTTCATGCAGCAGTGAGGCTGAACAGCAGGCTCGTTGCGGTTCGCAAGCAGGATGCAAAAGTAGCCGATAAGGCGCTGCGGGAGTTCCTTGACGCGAAGGGTGAGCGTGTGCTCCATTGGATCTTTGTCGATCACAGTGTTCGGCTCTCAACGTCCCTTGGGAGCAGCAGCATGGACATCCTCAATCTTCTGCAGCCAATCACCGAGCTGTCAGCGGTAAGGGAGGCCATGAGGAAGTACGCGGAAGAGAAGCATGATGAAAGTTGCCCCAGGAGAGTAGATAAAGAAACTGGAGTCCAGGATGTCAGCTGTGCGACTGCGGCTTCCTCTAGTCTCCTCCTAGAGGGTCGGCCGGAGTTAAAGGAGTGCGAGGCTTGTCGTCTTCCAGGGAGATGGTGCCTCCATCCTTGCCACCCTCAGAGCTGGGAGGACGAGATCTATTACATGAACAGAATCCCTGAGAGCGAGCTCACGTGGTATGATCCGCGTCCGTATCCTGATCATGCAGAGAATGACAGAGATGATTGGGAATATGTGGAACAGCGGTGGCAACCCCTCGATGACGCATCGCAGCGCGAGGATAGCCATGCAGGGACTGTGAAGTGGGGTGGAGATCCTCAACGACCGTGGAAGCTGTGGGGGCAGAACTGGGAGAAAAGGGATGTGCTTATACCGACGGACCACCAGGTCGGGGCACTCTTGCTGGACTGTGACGTAAGCGTTGCGATACAGAACCGGAAGATCTTCAGGTTGGTCGAGAAACGTGTTCTCCCCCACAGCCGAGGAGTGTTTGCCACTGCCTCCTCCTCTGATCTGCGCCTGGGAGGCCTTCTTCACCTTGTCAGCACCGTTCTTGCTGTCCCCGCGACATGGGACGTAGAATTGCGGACCCAGTTCCGAGAAGGTTCCAGCATCAGGTACTTGAGGACTCGTGTCCTATCAGCATTGCTGGCCGGTGCCCGGGCGTCCGAAGAGGTTGAAGAGCTCCCCCCAGATGCTGGAGGGCTGGATGACCAGTCCCTCCACAGAGAAAGGGGGATAGGCATGCAGGGACAGGCCTTTCGGATAGAAAGAGGGGTAGACATGGAGGAGAGGAGCGAGCCGTTGGACGAAAAGAATATCGGTGAGGCAATCAGACAGCTGCACTGCTTGCTGCGGCAACTGATCTTAGAGAGGGACCAGATTGCGGAGTTTTCCGTATCAGTGAATAGCATTGAAGGAACTCTGCATGCTAGGAGGGGCTCCCACCGGATGGCAGGGTACAGCCCGCAGGAGGAAGAGGAGGACCATCGAAGTAGAGGACGTAGGCGTGCACAAGGAGGGGATCACGACGGGTTTGTCGATGATGGGGAAGGAGATAGTGTTGATGGTTCCTCTTGTGGCGAGAGTGAGTACGATGATGCGTATGACGGGTTTGTGCCCGACTCAGATGGTTACGATGACTTCAACACGATGATGGATATGTTCACTTATCAGAATTACTGGGAAGACAAGCTTGGTGGACCGCTCCAGCACTGCGAGCTGAATATGGTTGCACGACAATTCGGCCTGGACCGCCATCCCCTTGTTTCAGACGAGTACACCTGTAGTTCCCCGCACTGCGAAAGAGATTGGACGGTGTGGTGCCGGGCAAAGATGTGTAGTGACTGCTGTCGCAAGTCGCCGCATGCAAGGGAGTGTGGAGCTCATTGGTGTCAAAAGGAAGGGTGCATGGCTGCGCCAGACCTTTGGTGTGTCCGGAGAATGTGCGCATCGTGCTGCAAACAGTCGCAGTCAGAGTCCCCTGCCCAGTGTTTGCCTGCTCCACAGTCACACGCCCTGAACGAGGGTGAACCTGTAGGAGAAGAAGAGGTGGGGCACTACGAGGCGATACAGTGTGAATACCATATCGCAGATAAGGTCATGGTGAATTCCCACAGTCGGTCGTCAGAATTCCCCGTAGCCTCAGCCTCTCAGGAGCAGGCAGTGACGGAGGCAGCTTGAAGCACACTTTGTGCATGCTGCGTGCATGCCGTGTGCCGAATTCGACCATCTGTACATATTCTGTTCTTCATCTCTCTCTTCTTCCCCCCACTTCAATTTCTCTAACCGCCTCCACGATCATGTCTGGCAGTTACTCCTCTTCGTCTTTTTTTCTCTTAATGAGACTATGAAAGGGCGAACTGACCGGCCCCATGTGATTCGGAATTATTCCATTCTGTTCGTAGGGTTGCATCGGGATTCGAACTCGGGTCTGTATTTCGAAAGCTCATCGGTGTACCAACTTAGATTAGGCCCGTAGGCGGTGGTCGCCAACTTACCGCCTCGTTTGCTGTCCCCAACTCCCCGCCCTTTTTCTTTTCTTTCTCTTTTTAATTTTTCGCTTTCTGGGTTTTGTCTGCATACTGTGGCACAACTGAGACAGAGACCGTTCGCCACCACTCGCTCCGCATCCTCATGTGCACACACTGGCATTAATCTACAGGCTGGGGCATTCGACCATCTCTCTCACGCTGCACAAGACAATTGGTTGGCGGCGGTGCCTGGCCTTCTCTTCCCCATCTGGTGTACGGCAGAGTAGACTGTCCATCGATGCTAAAGGGACTAAACACAGAAGACTCTTTGATTCACATTCCCAGATTCTGATTAGCTAGAGCTGGGCACCGGAATACCATCTGGGGGAAAGCAAGACTTGGTGGAGTAGGCGCCCGTTCACGGAAGCTGATGGATGTCGCAAGGCGTATGTCCAGAGTCTGCAGATATTACCTGTTCTAGATTGTTAGTATAGGAACTCCATAGCATCCCTGCCTCTTCTGTTGCATCGTAGCAAGTTGGCACTATTCTACCCATTGTGGATTTTTTTGAATTTTTCCCATTTCAACATTCACCTATGCGTGTTAAGATTGCGTTGGGGTACCATGACATCTTTTTCACATCTGCAGCATGTTAAAGGCAGACGACATGTAACACACAATGTTCAACCGAGAGAGAGAGAGAGAGAGAGAGAGAGAGAGAGAGAGAGAGAGAGAGAGAGAGAGAGAGAGAGAGGGAGACGGTGGGTGTGGACAACGACCCGCTTTAAAATGAGTCTAAGAATTGCGAAAGGGTCTGAACAATCGCCCTTGTAAAATAGTCATTTATGAATGAGGATCTGTCATACGAGTGAAGTACGCCCAAGTCGATACGATCGCCTTTTGGGTGACAGTGGTGGCTGCTGTGACATGGCCTGTCTAGTCCTAATGAAGCCAATGAACGGTGAGGTCGCGCTGTGCAGCTTCTGAGCTTAGTTGCGTATCGGCTCCTCAGAAATCACTTCTCTCACTTCTTTTGAACTGGTGTTGTCATAACTCATTACTAGATGTTCTGCTGTTCTTCCAAGTTCAGCAGCACCAGTATGACCTATATACATATATACTGCAGGCACCCTCCTCATCCGGACACTATATGTCCATTTTGTGGCCACGGACGCTATGCTGAATGCATGCTCTTTTGTGGGGGG